CGCGTCCTTAGGAAATTCCTCAAGATCAGCCACCAGTATTGATCAGCATCGAATCCTTTCGGGTCAATTCGTCCGACCGCCCAATTAGCTTTTAGTTGCAAGCAGTGAAAGTGGCATTACGATGGTTATTTGCAACTGCTTGATGAACGTATCCACTCTTTGTTTACGACTGGGGCGGAGCAGAAGGCTGTGAAAGATATTATGGAGAATATAGGTGTTTCCGATTCTGTCCTCCTTCCAGGGGTCTCCGTGACTCTCTACACTGGAGACAGTGCAACATATTTCATTGATCAATGTAACGGGCGCTCGTGTTACCAGCTTATTTTCAGATCGTATGATTGAATGCTTGGAGGCGTATGTACCTCAGAATGCCTGTGTTAGGTCAGCACCAGGCCCCCTCTTCCCGTTTACTCTTTTATCCTCTTTTCAGTCTAGGACTTTAAATATACTTAGACAAACTTTGTGGTTGTAAGGTAATGAATTATTATTGCCAAAACTAATGTTGCTGTATTTGTTGATGATCATGATTGATGTGTCTTGTACGATGAATTTAGAAGTATTTATCCATTTAGCTATCAAACTGGACTGGAAGGTTTATAATTACCTGAAAGTTCGTGGCACGTGTGGTGTCAACAGCTTGCCCCAAACACTCTGGCTCTCTCCCCAGTGAAGCTATAGTCGTAGGGTGACATTTGGGTGATCTGATTTCCACTCAGCTTTTCACTGGAGGCAGACACTGACGTGTCGTTGCCAGGATATCTCCGAACATGTGCGAACGCCGCTGTGTTCAGACGCACCTGCTCGCACAGACGTGCTCCGGGACTGAGTGGCATGCAATGATGCTTGTGGGATAATTCCGTATTGTTCAAAATGTCCACGGAAGACTTACCACACATTCCTTTGACTAGTGGGTCGTGATTGACTGTGCAAAGGTTAGAGGCACAGTTATGGATGAGTCGACTGATGTTGGGTCATCCTTCGAATGGTAGGGACTTTCCTACAGGAAAAGAATCTGAACAAACGCCATTCACTACGACAAGAGGGTTGGCATATCTCCTCATATGAGTCAAATGCAACATAGGAGGCAGACATTACGTCTCCATTACGTCCTCATTTGTATCTCGTGGACATGATGAAGTTAGTGCCTCAGTGAATTTTTCCATCTCACTACATCCCAAAATGCTGTTACTTATTTTCTCACCACAGTACGTTTTTCCGGGCCTCCGTCCCCATTTTTGAGTGATTTGGTGGGTTTTTTGCTGTTGAGTTGTGCGGTACCTTTCTTAGCCACATAGAAGACAGCTGTGTTATCATTTTCAACCGACTGGTACTATAATATTCGTCGAAATCAACCTGAGAGCCAGGTGTTGAACCTTTTTCCGGGTGAACGAATGATGTCTTCGCTCCGTCCCCTGAATAATCCTTTGAGAGTCTACGGGAGCGGACACGAAAATTATGTCTCCTTTATTCACTGACGCGACCATTAATCGGTAACTTTAGCATGTATAAGGCCCAAAATAAAGTCAGCCGACTATTCAGAGACTCCCATACTTAAATGGTCCCCTGAATAATCCTTTGAGAGTCTACGAGAGTGGACACGAAAATTATGTTTCCTTCATTCATTGACGCGACCATTAATCGGTGACCTTAGCATACTATTCAGAGACTCCCATACTTAAATATACATGGTATGCGCAAGTGCGTGCGTTGAAGTCATGCAAATGTACTGGAGGTCACGGTCCTAGGTGGTAGTGTCCTAACTCACCAGCACAGTAAGTGCGGTGCTTATCTCAAGTTAGTTGGTCTCTACGCTAGCAGCTGTCGAAAATCCGCCGGAGGATCCAAGGACAGTGCGAAGCAGACATATAGCACACGAGGAGTTGTGCACTAAAGCTTTGCTAGTGCCCAAACAAATGAGACGAATCGTGGAATAGACATATGACTACTGTATTTTTCCAAAATGGTTGCACAAACCAGATGTTCATTTCAACGACAATTGTTCCCCCTGGAGCGATGGAATCAACCAGGTGTTCACTCTGTGACGTGGTCTATGGGACTTCCACAACCGTGTTAAAAATAGCCTCTCCCAGGGATGTTCCATCCAGACAGGGCAGATGTGATTCCGTAGCACTGCATACACTAATTATGGCAGTTTGCCTTCTTTCAGGCTCTCACAGAGTCATACCAACCGGTCACTTTCGTAGAACTATCGTAGCTCAGTGGTGGAGAATAAGTTTCTCGCCTGACATGAACAAGTTATCATTAAATGTCGTCGAGATAACTAATGCTGGTCGATGTCAGAAAACCCCTTCCAGCAAGCAACAACTACGACGGAACACATCCTTTTCAAACGTCAGATAATGCGCAGTTCAAGGGAGGAATTGAAACTGTAGGGAACAAGGAAAGCTTAGGAGCTGGAGAAGACTTGTCTCGTGAAACGACCGTGCACCAAATAACCTAGTTCCATCGGCCGACCAAAGGAGGGAAGCTTTCAACGAAACCATGAGTGAAATAGACGGTTCAGTAACTCATTCACAAAAGCGCTGATTGGACTGGTGAGTGGGCTTTGGTCTGTTTGCGGAGATTATAAGCGTTTTGTCATTGAACGTGGAGACATCATGGGTGCACGGTTTGCTGGGTTTTCAACGGTCATCGATATGACGATGGTAAACTCAATTCCAGCCTCTGGCACCTGTGGGGTTACATTGCTTCCAGATATTGGGTACACAGGTGACGTAGCTTCTCCTAAATATGGTGCTACCAATGATGTCTTCGCTCCGTCCCCTGAATAATCCTTTGAGAGTCTACGAGAGTGGACACGAAAATTATGTTTCCTTCATTCATTGACGCGACCATTAATCGGTGACCTTAGCATACTATTCAGAGACTCCCATACTTAAATATACATGGTATGTTGTCGCAAGTGCGTTGAAGTCATGCAAATGTACTGGAGGTCACGGTCCTAGGTGGTAGTGTCCTAACTCACCAGCACAGTAAGTGCGGTGCTTATCTCAAGTTAGTTGGTCTCTACGCTAGCAGCTGTCGAAAATCCGCCGGAGGATCCAAGGACAGTGCGAAGCAGACATATAGCGCACGAGGAGTTGTGCACTAAAGGTTTGCTAGTGCCCAAACAAATGAGACGAATCGTGGAATAGACATATGACTACTGTATTTTTCCAAAATGGTTGCACAAACCAGATGTTCATTTCAACGACAATTGTTCCCCCCTGGAGCGATGGAATCAACCAGGTGTTCACTCTGTGACGTGGTCTATGGGACTTTCACAACCGTGTTAAAAATAGCCTCTCCCAGGGATGTTCCATCCAGACAGGGCAGATGTGATTCCGTAGCACTGCATACACTAATTATGGCAGTTTGCCTTCTTTCAGGCTCTCACAGAGTCATACCAACCGGTCACTTTCGTAGAACTATCGTAGCTCAGTGGTGGAGAATAAGTTTCTCGCCTGACATGAACAAGTTAGCATTAAATGTCGTCGAGATAACTAATGCTGGTCGATGTCAGAAAACCCCTTCCAGCAAGCAACAACTACGACGGAACACATCCTTTTCAAACGTCAGATAATGCGCAGTTCAAGGGAGGAATTGAAACTGTAGGGAACAAGGAAAGCTTAGGAGCTGGAGAAGACTTGTCTCGTGAAACGACCGTGCACCAAATAACCTAGTTCCATCGGCCGACCAAAGGAGGGAAGCTTTCAACGAAACCATGAGTGAAATAGACGGTTCAGTAACTCATTCACAAAAGCGCTGATTGGACTGGTGAGTGGGCTTTGGTCTGTTTGCGGAGATTATAAGCGTTTTGTCATTGAACGTGGAGACATCATGGGTGCACGGTTTGCTGGGTTTTCAACGGTCATCGACATGACGATGGTAAACCCGATTCCAGCCTCTGGCACCTGTGGGGTTACATGGCTCCCAGATATTGGGTACACAAGCGACGTAGCTTCTCCTAGATATGGTGCTACCGAATTAGAAATAATACCAAAGTCTAAATGCTGTGGTGTGGTAGAAACCTCATGTCTACAAAATGTAAAGTGTTGATACAGGACTGGGGAGGAACAAATCCAAATATCGTACACATGAACTGGTTAAACTGGCGAACAAAATCACCACCCTGGGTATCTGTATCTCCTGCCTGTGTTTCTGAGGACGATGTAGCCCTTCGGGCAGAGAATGTCACAGTGGCTTTCGTCAGTAAGTAACGTGTGGCGCAGACTTGACATTAGTTTGTCCGTCAGAGGTCGACTATAGAATGCCTCTGAGAACTGAGAACACTGTCTTCGGAGCATTTCTCAAGTCTGTTGTGAACTTCGATGTGCTCTTAATGGTTTTCAAAAGAAATAGATCGCACATGACGGATCAACAGATGACACTGTATTGGTTGCGCTGGCTTGGTCACATGCTTTGCATATCAGCCGATCAATTTTCTCGGACAGCCCTCTTCGCACAACCATACGGAGGGTGGGAACGAGCCAGAGGAGGCCATGCAGTGACTTGGAAGCGGATCCATTACCGGCAAACTTAGCTGCACTGGTCATTGCCATCTCCCTGGATGGGAACCACCTGACGGGACACATCGATAGCCGGAGACACTACCAGATGCTGATCAGCGGGTTTACTGATAGAAAAACTACAGTTCATTCATCAGGAAAGCCTCGGTTTCTTAGACTAGAAAAGTGCTCACAAGAAAATAGCCAGCTCTGGGATATGCTTTCATCCATCATTTTTTCCAGTTCACATAACCGCAGTCGTCCGCTTCATACCGATTATCTCAACTTCTGTTTTGAGTTATAGTCCCTTGCACGGACACTTAACCTAAGACCAGCAGGTTTTCGTTTCCGCTTCCCAAACAAATTTGGCGAAGTAGGAAAAACGCCTTGCAGACGGGGGGGGGGGGGGCAAAG